AGTTTAGTAGCTGGCAATATAATATTACTATTTTTCTTTAGGATAACTATTATACTAATTAAATACTTATTATTATTATTATTTAAGGTATATACCTAAATTATTAAGTATTTATTAGGGCTATTATAGATATTAAATATAAAAAGAAGAGAATACTTATATAAGCTTAAATAGTTTTAGTTATATAATTATATCTAGTTAGCTAAATTAGGGCCTACTTTAATATAGTTTTATAGGCAACTATCTATTAAAGGCAACGCTTATAAATTATTCTAAGGTACTCTAGTAAGTTTGTATTATAGAGAGCTGTTAAGGCAGCCAGCTATACTGCCTTTACCGGGAAGTATTTATGGGGAAGCTAGAATTAGGCGAATCAGAATCTGCAAAAAGTCATGCCTCTGTAAGGTCATGCCTCTGTATCAAAAGTGTTATGCCGCTCTATCAATTCCCTATCCTTTCCGTGTTTCCTTAGCACAACCGTTGTCGATTCCCTAAAATATTGTGGGCAGTTGCCGAGAGTAAGACTTTAATTAAAGAGGGCCGCTAGGTGAGGCTTGATCCAGGTCGTCACTAACTGTAGTGCTTTGTTCGGAATGCTATCAGGGCCCGGAGCCTTAAGGGGCGAGGCTTCGCACTTACTATTTATATACATTTATTTAAATCTTGTTCCGAATTACAGCCTTATATTAAGCTATCCTTAATTAATGCTAGCCTGTTACCTCGACTCAAGACCCCTCCTGATAGCTTCGTTATATTCCAACACATAGCCATTTCTGTCCGCTTGTTCTCGGGGTGTAATTCCATCTTTATCTGTTATATCAATGTCCACACCTTTACAAACGAGCTGTTCCACTAATTTCCATTTCTCGTTCTTCACTGCCAGGTGTAGTACAGTTTTTCCACGATACGATCCATTAACGTCTGCTCCTTCTCTTACTAACAAATTTACGGTTTCCCACTCTTTACTCTCCGCTGCCGCATATAGACAAGACTCTCCGTTGTGCTCTGCTGAAGGGTCTGCTCCCTTGGTTAATAGAACTGCTGCTTTACCTTTATATCCATAGCTTGAAGCCCGATACAGCGCCTCTGATAAGTCCTCTTTGTCGGCATCTCGTTTTGCTGTGTTTTCAAGAAGACACTCCAGTACTCGTTTACGCACATGAGGCTGCATGACATACAGCAGTGGCGAGTTGCTTTCGTCTTGATGGGTAATTTTGGCTCCTGCGTTTACCAGGGCCTTAATAGCCGTCTCGTCCTCATTGTGTACCGCGCACAAAAGAGCCTCTGTGTTCTCTGGTTTGAGCTTAACACCCTTCTTTAGTAGCAGGTGCATCATGTCCGTTTTCTTGTCCTTCACAGCCCGCCACAGTGCTCTTGCTCCACCATCCCCTTTAACGTTCACATCTTTATCCAATAGTAGCTGTAGCATATCCATGGCCCCTGTATCTGCAGCCCATTTCAGCACTCTCTCCCCGTTCTGTGCTTTGACATCGACGCCCTTTTGTAATAATAGCCGCAGCAACTCCTTATTTCCCTTATCCACGGCCCATCCCAGCGCTACTTGTCCGTTTGCTCTATTCACATGAACAGAATCCTGCCTATTCAATAATCCCAGCATCATGCCTTCGCCTCCGTTTTCCATAGCCCATTTCAAGGCTTCCTCTCCGGTGTATGATGCTAGACCCCAACCTTCATATTGATCTTCGTCCAATAGAATGTTAACTAGACGTTTAGACCCGTTCCTTACCGCCCACTCAAATTCGGCTTTGGCCACCTTTTTAGTTAGTGCTGCCTGGTTATATTTATCCCGTATTTGGACATCTGCACCATTCTCCAGCAATAGTCCTATAAGCTCTTGATTTCGATTGTGTGTCTTCGTTGCATAATATAACGCTGTTTGTCCGTTTTCATCTTTGGTATTAACACTTAACACCTTTATAAGAAACCACGTGGTCTCCAACTCCGGTACGAAAAATAGAGGTGTTTCCATGTTATTCGTTATTTCCAGCAGTTGAGATTGCTGAAATAATGCATTTTGACTTTTTATGTTAGGGATTATAAAACGTAATATAGTTTTTGCAGCCTGATTCATGAACACAGATCGCGTTCGCATCGCTTCGTCGTTGTACGTTAATCCTAACTGTTTGTCTAGCGACGTTTTTAACGATAAATACTGTGCAGCTAGTTCATCATCTCTTTGGAAAGCTTGTGGGGAACTTTCCATAAGCTGAGATATATTATAGCTACTACCAAGCAAAGAATTATATCCAGAATCAGAACGTCGCATGTCGTGGATTCTCTGGAATAAGAGTTCATCGATAATTTTGCGCATATTCTGAACTGCGACTTCTATTCTTGGTTTATCTCCCTCCTGCTAGTTGTTGGTGTTAGTCATCTTCTCAGACATTATGGAAAGAAGTATTAAGTGCAGTAGGGTAGGGTTATATCGACAAGTCTGTACCTTTACTACGCGTTGTTGGTTGTTCCACACTAATAGTTCTCGAACTGCCAGTGTGTAGCTCTTCTCTGTCGCGATGTGCAGCGCCGTCCTCATTTTGTTATCCCTCGCTAAAACGTCTGCGCCGTTCTCGATTAGCACGTGTATCGCATCCACCCAGCCGTTCTCAGCTGCGTGGTGCAGTGGTGTTTGTCCATCGTTATTCTTTTCGTTGACGTCACAGAATGCTGACATCGTGGTAGTGTTTGGGAGGTTGGTTGAATAAATAAGTTGAAAAGTCTGCCCCTAATAGACCGGGTATATATTAAAATCTCACAGCCGAGTCTACAAAGATGGTCGACAATTCCAGCTAGTGAGGAGCTACCGAGTAGACTTCGGCTATTTAAGTTCCTGCTCTTATTAAAGTGAGAGAAGTGCCGTACCGTACCAGCCTCCTAATGAGCTGCTAGGCTTCTACGTCGCTGTATACCTTCTGAGCCATGTTGGCTGAGTACCAACCCCCGCTTATTGTGCATATTAGGAAACTCGTGTTGCAATAGAATTCACCTGAAAATGAAATGTCTGCAGATTGAAAAAATCATCGCGCCCCATAGGCGGCCTCCGAATGTTGTGATAGGTTTCCAGGCGTCAAGGTTATGGTGGCGGAGTATAGTGCAAGGGTTTTTTGGGTGGCTGTAAGGACTTCTAAAGTATAATCTCATTACGTTTAACGCAAGTTACGGTGGGATGTAAAAGGTATTTAACCAGATTAGGGACTTGGCTATCACACCTAGAGCTGTGACGAAAAAACTACACTACATGTAATTTTTAGTGTAATTTATAGTGTAGTTGTAATGTAGTGTAGTTTATATTATAATTTACTATATTACATGTAGTTTTTTAATAAAAATTTAATTATAAGGGAAAAGTCTAATTATAATTATTACGCTAATTATAAGGCTTATAAGAACCCACTTTATATATATAGAAAGAACTAATTTAGCTCTTTAAAATGCACTAATTTTTATGTGTATAGCTTATAAATTAAGCGAGTTATAGTAAGCTAAACAAAAAGGGCCCGCTTTTTTAAGATAATATTTAAAAGCTTAATAACTCCCTGAATTTTAAAGTTATAAGCTTAATTTTTAAATATTTAAAATCACGTGATTTTTAACTTTATTTTAATATATAATATACTTATATAAGCTTTTTTATACTTA